TGCCACCAGCTTCCAAAGTCTTCAGTTTGTGAAAAGAATCAAGTTGCTCCTTAGAGAAAGTATTTATTGTATTCCTACTGATTTTCATGACTATTAACAGGGGAAAGAAGGAGGCATCTGGTAGAGTCTTCAACTTGTTTTGGGAAATATAAAGTTCTTTGAGTTGTGGCAAAATCAAAGAACACGAATTGAGATTGTTATTGCTAACATCTAAAATTTCCAGTGTCTGGGGAATGCAGTGAGTTAAACTCTGTATTTGTGTGCTGGATAAGTTCAAATATTTCAGCTTTTCTGGCCAGTGACAAGTTTCAGGCATAGAATGAAAATTATTATTACTGATATCAAGATTAGTCAGGTTTTCCAGAGTAAGCAAGGTCTCTCCAGTTTTTTCTAATGATTTCAAATGATTTTGTCTTAAAATTAAGGTTTGTAGGGAAGGCCAGGCATCCTCACAGGCTGAATTTTTCAACTGATCTTCGACCATCAAATTTTCACTGAGATCCAAGTATTCTAATGATTTTAAGTGTCTTGAAAATAAACAAGGAACCAGAAAAACGTTACTGTTTTCTACCGTGATTCTTTTAACTCTTTCTGTGAGTGAGTATATAGTACTTAGATCATAAAACAAGTAAAATCTTGGAATACGCAACGTTCGTATTGTTAATGTTTCTACTTTACCAGAGTCTTCAACTCTGTATGCCTCAGAGTTTCTGAAATCACCGATTCCATCAAGGGTACAGTTATCAAATTCTAAGTCTAATAATCCAGAAGCATAACTCAGCATTTTTATAATTTCATTAAAACTTGTATCAGTGATTTCCACATTTCTAAATGTAAACTTTTTTAACAATGGACTTGTTTCACTTATGGCTAGCTCTGGAAAACGGAAAGGCCCCAAATCAGTATCCCTCAGTTCCACATGTTCCACGGAACTTAAAAGATCTACAAAAATCTCAGGCAGTAAATAAGGCTGTATCATATAAAGGATCAGATGACTTATGTTCTGAATAGATTTTAAACTGGTTGGCTCATAACTCTGGAGATTTGAAGCATCAATCTCAAGTTTCTCAAGAAAGGTGAGTCCAGCAAAATCCTTTTTCTGAATCTTAGAGAAGTTATAAGTATTTCCTACTCTCAGGATTTGCAAATTTGTGAGATGAGAAAAAAGAGATGTTTCCCCAAGTGTTTTGTAAGGATTTCCCAGCAAGTTTAAGAATTTTAAGGAAGAAAGGGGCTTGAACCAGGAGAATAATAAATTAGATAAATGATTATACGATAAGTCCAAATGTTCGAGACTGGCCAGGGGAAAAAAAGAGTCTTCATCTATTGTGTTAATTCCATTAGACTTTAGCATCAAAACTTTGAGGTTCACACACCTCTGCAGGTCACTGTTGCTGATACAGGTGATCTCATTGTAGGACAGGTCAAGGCTTTTCATAGCTGCTGTGATCCCTGAGGGGATGGAGTTTAAAGATCTGGAGCGGCCATCGCAGACACCAGCCGAGTCACAAGACAGAGAAGCTTGATCAGGGGACCCTTCCTTGGAGATACTGATTGCGACCCCTAAGGCCCAAACTGTCCACAAAACAAGTGGCATTGTCCAGTGATTCAACCTACAAATAAAAGAGGTTCACATGGGTAATTGTGTTTGATAGCATATCATAATTCTGATTCTCAAGAAGTGTTTTATAAGGCACAACACTCACACACACACACACACACACACACACACACACACACACACAGAGGAAACAACAGAGATGTGAATGAAACATACAAATGAGGATAAAATATGAATTCCCCAACACATCCAACAACACTAACACATATATATGGCCCCTTAAAGTGACTTAAAAGCACAACCATATGGGAGCATAGAGCAGGACTCAATAAACATGGGTTGAAAGAATGAGTGAATGAATGAATGGAGGAATGCAAGCAGTTTAACAAATAGACGAGGCTTAACCATATGGATTTACAACCTCCTTTATCTGCACTTCAAACCTTCTTATGTTTGAGCATGCCTCTTCCCTCTGTCAGTGCCCCCTCAATCACCGAGATCTCACAGAACCAAATCACAGCACTCACTGGACAGCTCTTCACTGAACAAAGCTCCAGGAGTAGTGTGCTCATCAACCCTACTAGTAGGATGTTGGGAACCCCAGACAGAGCAAGGTGGTTTGCTTGGTTGAGGGACGCTTAGACCATCAGAACTTTCTCTTCCTGCAGAAAAGTGCAGAAAGCAGTGTTTAAGTCTGCAGGGCTGTTCAGGTGGATGTGGGGGAAATAAAGCTATCTGTACCACAACTGCTAGTTTGCTTTCAACCATGAATCTAACAGTTTTCTCTCTGCCTACCTTCTGGACGTATATCTTCTCGGACTCTATTCAGCTCCTCTATTCCATGCATCTGTATGCCGTTGTCTATATTTGTCCAGTATACTACCTCTACACAATTTTTTTTTACTGAAAACTAATTGATTGTACATATTTGTGGGGTACAGAGTTGAATATCAATATCTGTGGTACAAAGTGTGATGATCAAGTCAGGATAATTAGAATATTCAACATTACAAAATGCAATCATTTCTTTTTGTTGAGGATATTTGGTCTCTCTGCTAGTCATTTGATAACATGCAATAAATTATTATTAATTATAGGTGCCTAGCTCAACTGCACATCAATAGAACTTATTTTTCCTAACTAGCTGTTTTGTGTCCATTAACCCATTTCTTGGTATCCCCCCTCCCATTCCCCCTGAGAAGCTCTAGAAACCACAGTTTTGTTCTCACCTTCTCAAAGTCCAACATATTATGATCTTTCTTTCTTTCAGCTCCCACTTATGAGTGGGGACATGTGGCATTTCTCTCTCTGTCCCTGGCTTGTTTCACTTAACATAATTTTCCGCAAACTCATCCATGCTGTTGCAAATGGCAGAATTTCATTCTTTTTACAGGTGAGTAGTATTCTATTGTGTATATAAACCACATTTTCACTATCCAGTCATCTGTAGGTGGACATTTAGGTTTGTTCTATATCTTGGCTATTGTAAATAGACCTACGATAAACATGGAAGTGTAGATACCCCTTTGACATGATGATTTCCCTTCCTTTGGGTATATACCCAGTAGTGGGATTGCTGGATCATATGGCAGTTCTATCTGTAGTTGTTTGAGAAACCTCCATTCTGTTTTCCATAATGGCTGCACTAATTTACAGTCCCACCAACAGTGTATAAGGGTTCCCCTTTCTCCATATCCTTGCTAGCATTCGTTATTCTTTTTGATAATAGCCAGTCTAACTGGGGTGAGCTGATATCTCGATGTAGTTTTGATTTGCGTTTCCCTGATGATTAGTGATGTTGAGCATTTTTTCATGTACCTGTTTGCCATTTGTATGTCTTCTTTTGAGAAATGACTATTCAGCTCCTTTGTCCATTTTTAAATCAGATTATTTGCTTTTTACTATTAACTTGTTTGAGTTTCTTATATATTCTGGATATTAGTCCCTTGTCGGATGCATGGTTTGCAAATATTTTCTCCCTCTCTGTAGGTTGTCTTTTTTTTTTGGTTTGTGTCCTTCCGGACCTTTTATTTTATTTTGTTTTATTTTAATTTTTATTTTGTCGATATACAATGTAGTTGATTATTATGTTCTATCACCAAAACCTCCCTCCCTCCTCCCTCTCCCCCCTCCCACCCAAGCATGTCCTTTCCATTTGCTTGTTGTAAGAACTTCAAAAAAATTGTGATTGTTATATCTTCCTCTCCCCCCCCCAGTTTTTTGTTTTTTTGTTTTTGTTTTTGTGTGTGTGTGTATGTGTGTGTGTGTGTGTATGTATGTGTGTGAATTGATTTATTTAATTTAGCTCCCACAAATAAGTGAGAACATGTGGTATTTCTTTTTCTCTGCCTGACTCGTTTCACTTAATATTATTCTTTCAAGGTCCATCCATGTTGTTGCAAATGGCAGTATTTCATTCGTTTTTATAGCTGAGTAGTATTCCATTGTGTAGATATACCACATTTTCCGTATCCACTCATCCGATGATGGACATTTGGGCTGATTCCAGCTCTTGGCTATTGTGAAGAGTGCTGCAATGAACATTGGGAAACAAGTATACCTTCGACTTGATGATTTCCATTCCTTTGGATATATTCCCAGCAGTGAAATAGCTGGGTCATATGGTAGATCAATCTGCAACTGTTTGAGGAACCTCCAAACCATTTTCCATAGGGGTTGCACCATTATGCATTCCCACCAACAATGTAAGAGAGTTCCTTTTTCTCCGCAACCACACCAGCATTTATCTTTCAGCATCTTTTGGATTTTGGCCATCCTAACTGGGGTGAGATGGTATCTCAGTGTGGTTTTGATTTGCATTTCCCGGATGCTGAGTGATGTTGAGCATTTTTTCATATGACTGTTGGCCATTTGCATATCTTCTTTAGAGAAATGCCTACTTAGCTCTTTTGCCCATTTTTTAATT